AAAGCCCTAAAAGTATCAAAGTTGTGTTTTTCTAAATGAAATACCCTATATATTATTGCATTTTTGGATTCTCTGAGCAAAATAAGTGTTTGTTTGACTAAGATTTATAATGTCAAAATCTAAAGGTTTTTTAAATAATTCGAATTTTATCAAAATCTAATATTATTTTCCTGTGTCAAATACTTTAGAATTATTTAAGTTATGTAAACATAATTCGTAGTGTAGTGTAACAAGAAATCATATTTTATATCCCAATGATAATAAACTTACCATTTTATACAGGGTGTCCACAAATTTAAACTAATCAAATAAGAACTTTAAGTGGTTATAACTTGATTAATTTAAATACAATCCCATATTTTTTAGCTTACCAGGAAATGCAATTTTTAATTACCTATGGAATGGTACTAGGATGTTTATAACTAAGTGTTTGCCTTTTTACAAAATACAACAAATAATGGTTCTGTGCACCATTGTATGTGGACATTCAAATAAAAACGTGTTAATTATTAAATAGGGCCTGAGTGAAACTTTGCATTAACATATTTATTTAATTTTCAGTATTAAATTATTGGTAGATATTTTTATAGTTTTTTTATATAGACATCTGATACTACATAAGCGCCTGTTTGACTAGAATTTTTGCTGTTTCTACAAATTGCCTCCAAAATTAAGATTTTCTAACGTTTTTGGTAAAACTATCAACTTAATTATTCCAGACTTCAATATTACGTTTGCATGCAAATTTTACTGTTGATAATTTCAACACTGGCACTTAATCTGAACACTTTGAAAAAAGTTTTCAAGAGTGACAAACTCAAACAGAATAGTACCAAATGAGTATCCTTCGGAAATGAACACGGATATTGATTTTAAGATTTATTTAAAAAAAAAAATTAATAATACAGCGTAAGTATAGTGATTGATACGATTTAAGTGTTTTCGTGATATTGCAAATTATTTTTTGAAATATTTGCTGATGTCTCGTTTTTTTTCTTTTATTTGTAATAATTTATTGTTCAAATTAAATTTTAAAAATTCTTAAATTTCTTATTGTAATTGTAATGAAAAGGGAACAATTGGCAAATAACAAATTGTTCATTAAAATAAATGTTATTACGCGTAATTAAAACTAAACCGATTCCAGGCGAAAATTTAAGCTCAACGTAACATAATTTCGCAAAATAAAACTTTTGTTAAATTTATCCATTTAAAAACTCCTACTAATTATTTATCGTAATATCAATGTGGAGAGTGATTTTAGCAAAAAAATTATTTGCAATTTACGAATTATTGAGCTTCGGTTAAATTCAGCTTCTAGTTTCTTATTCGAATTGCAGCACCAGAAGCGAATCGGCATGCAGATGATTTAAGGGAAACATTGGTAACCACAGCACCAAAATTATTTGTTGGAATGATTTATTTTCTCTAGACTCCTCAGGAGTTTTAGCAATTGAAGATATGAATGTAACTAGAAATGTTCAATGAGAGTTTAACTTTTCTGATGCAAATTTTTACTTTCTTCCTCAGTGATTAGGCTTCAGGACTTGGCATGTATGGAGTTTATTAGGTAACTTACTCTCGATTAGTTCCCCTTCTCGAATAGCTATGTGCCCTTTATCTTTGGGTGAGTACGATTCGATGCAAACGACGGTACTGCCTGGCATCGAGATACTGCAATTTGTAGTGTCCGAGTTGGCAGTACCCACACCTGAGCTGTCGCTGATGATGTCGCTGGCGTCTCCAAGACTCTTGTCTGTAACACCCAGTGCGAGCACTGAGATGGATTACACGAATTATGACAAAAAATATGGTGATACCATTGCATTTTGTCTTATAGTTAAATTTGAATGCCTTTGTACTAGGTGAATGCATTTCATTCAACAGGTGTCATAGTGTAAGGTGGGAAGTTAAGAGGTTCAGTCCATCTTACAGTGATTTTTTTAGTAGAGGTGTCAGGTTTCAGTCATTAATTAGATATTTGTTCTGGTGGTGATTAGCTAGATTTAATAGTAGGTTAACAGCATCAGATGATCCATTTTCAATTGGACAACAATAGCTGAAGTTGTTCACACGAACAAATGTGCAAATCAAACCTCTAAACCGTTATTTTTCCGAACTGAGTTTTACCACTTTGTCGAAATTTTATGATACACCTTTTGTCTTCAGAGGAATATAAAAACTGCTTCTCTAGTTTTAAATGGCCTTCCACAAAGTGTACCAGTTAAGTGAACACATGAAAATATTTTAAGTGGTTTACTAAAATCAATGCTGAATAGTTTCTCGTAATGTTTCATTGTACGATTTGAAGTAACAACTTAACATCTGTTGCTGTGTCCTCAATATTCAGAAGGATCTGAATTTCTCCTTAGTCCACGGGATTCGAGATTTTTCTCTGCTTTTCAACAGCTTCAGCAACATTCCTTTTTAAATATGTATGAACATTTGCGGTATTCTTTTGCGTCGACCTTCATTTAATTTTCTAACATATCTTTGTTCAATCAATTCCCAATATGGTTAACGACATTTTTAGTCACGATAATATGAATATGTATATGAATACCTACGTACTTATATACAATTGCTTGCGGTTTTAAATATTTTTATTAAATCTTTGGCTTTTACGACCACAACGTCTGATTTCTGGTTCATCATATTCATCAAGGAAAAAAGCTTATTTAAAGAAACTTTGCTTGAAAGTGCAGAAGGGGCAGTAATACGTGGAGTAATCAAGTTCTGAAATATATCCAAACCTGTATTTGCTATATCTGTGGTAAATGAGAAGCCAAAGAATGGACTGAACATGCTTTATAGTGAATATTTGAGAAAAAGAAGAGAAGATGAAAAAATTGAGAATATTAAATCCATAGTAAAACAAATATAGTGCTATGAGTTGAAAAGTTTTTGTTGTTTGAAAACACAAATACTTGATGGTTTAGCGAAGAAAAGTCAGAACTGCCACTAACACTAATTGTGAGGACTATGAGACCGCCTTCACTAAAAAGTCTTGTGATTTTTCACCCAACTGATTCAATCAAGAATTCAGGACACTTTGTTGAAAAGCCTCGATTGCTATTGCGGATTCTCTTTTTACGATGGTGCCAACAGAAAAATCATTGGAACACATGCAACGGTTGCTTCCTTTCAATATTGCAAAACTTTTTGGACCTTTTATATATTTCTCATTACAAATCAATTACTGCATGGAGATTTTTGAGGAAAGAGCTCTGGAGTCAACAAACAAAAGACCCAACTGCTGGTTCCGATATATCGATTATACTTTTCATATTTGAAGAATCATTCGAACTTTTTGAATTCTAGAGTTCAGTCCAGCATGAAACTCAGCGGAGAACACATTTTTTTAATTTTTTTTACATATATCGGGTGACGGCCAGGATTGTAAAAACACACCAGAACCGTCTTCAATCTGATGAAAACAATTAAAGAAAGCCTTAAATCAGCCAAAGACAAAATTTATCCTCTAAATGCATTTGGGGGTCTAAAAAATGCCATACAGTTGCTGTTCAGTTTAAACGTAGCGCCAACATCAGGATCACACAGGAGAATCTGCTGTGGTGGAGCACATACTTATAGAGTCCCAAATTATCTTTACTAAATTATTCCTAAGTACTATTTTGTAAATAATATTTTTAATCAAAAGTTAAGTTCTAATATTTTATCAAAAGTCTTATAGTCGCTACGTCTTTTCTTCGAGTAGAACTTTTACAATGAGGTGATTAACAGGCAGTTAACTAATTGATTGGCTCGTTACCAGTTTTTGTTACAATTGTTATACAGTGTGTCGCACTTAAGATGGAAACACCCCTGTATTTTATTTATTTTTGGAAGCAGAGTTTTCAGTTTCGGTACAGACGTAGAACATCATGAGCTTAATTGGTTAGGGTACCCGTTTCTAACTTCAGATCAGAACCCAGCCTACTACGACTTTGCGAATAGGTGCAATTCGCTATATTTTGCGATGCGTTGGAGATATCGGCAAAACTTACTAGAAAAAATTGTTCAGAATGTTATTTTAACGGTAAATACCGAGTTTCAAGTCAAAAGTCAAATTTTGGCGTTTTTTTTTTAATTTTCACGCGAGGTCCAAAGTTTTCACTAAAGCAACGAGAAATGCGACAATACATGACTACAAACATGATTTATTCAACAAAATAAAAAAAAAACAACAAAGAAATTCATGCGAAAAATTAGTATTATCGAATGTTGTCTGCTTTCACTAGTCCACCTGCAAGCCTGATGCACTTTTCAATGCGTTTGCGATTGTTATTGGAAACTCTCATAAGTTCAGCTACATTTGTTTCACGGCAGGCTTGTCTTGTTGTGAGTTTGAGGCCTTACTTTATAAACCTTATTCTTGATAGTACCCCAGAAATAGAAATCTAATGGCGTAAGGTTAGGGGAACGAGGGGGCTACTGTTCAAAAGAGCTTTTTCTGCCTATCCATCTTAATGGAAAGTATCGTTTTAGCCAATCCCGGACCAACAGGGAGTTATGAATAGATGCACCGTCTAGTTGGAAAAGCATTTCGTGTCGCACGTTGATAGGCAGATCCTCGATAACATCCCATAATTCGTTATTAAAAAAATCAAGCAATCGCTCAGCTTGTACGGTAGTGTAGAAGAAAAACGGCAAAATTATTCTGTCATCTAAAATTCCGCACCACACATTAACTTTTTGTGAAAAAATTAGGACTTTGCATAAAAATTTAAAAGAATGCCAACATTTGATTTTTGACTTGAAACTCGGTACATACCGTTAAAATAACATTCGGAACAACTTGTTCTAGTAAATTTTGCCCGATATCTCTAACGCATCCCAAAATATAGCCAACTGCCCCTATTCGCAAAGTCGTAGTAAGCTGGGTTTTTACCTGAAGGTAGAAATGGGTACCCTAAACAATTAAGCTCATTACATTCTACCTCTGTACCGAAACTGAAAACCTTGCTTCTAAAAATAACTAAAATACAGGGGTGTTTCCATCTTAAGTGCGACACGCTGTATATTATTGTTTACTTTTTTAAACACGCTAATCGACTCTTATTTAATTAATATCACACAATTCTTCGTATGAGTACAAATATTTGTTTCTTCGTCATGTTCTATCCAGTGCTCATTAAGCACTAATTGGTTTCAACACTACTTATCTAAAGTTGAATAACTTATAATATAATGAACATTCAAAAAACGCATGCAAAAATCTCTTGAAACAGTTAAGCAGTTGCGGTCAGGTAGAATAAAAATATCCTATCCTAGACTGCTGCTAACCAATACTGTATCAAACATCTAAATCTAAAAGGCAGGCACAGTATTATCGGCTGGAATGTCTTATTTTGCGCAAAACAGAAGTCACGAATCGAAATTTCGTGACAGTGTATCGTGCCCGGTATCACATTATTCAAGAAAATCGGTAAACAATAACAGAACTTTGTGACAGTTTATTCGAGAGGAAAATGTCGTCTATTTTTAAGAAGCAACTGGCTACTTACATTGTCTACATATTTCGCTCTGGTGGACACTGAAATAATTTTAGGACAAGAAGAAATGTGTTGCTTCAAGGAATACAATAAATAACTGCCGTGTGTATAAATAAAATAATTCACTAGCCAGTAGAAACAAGTTTGGAAGGGTTCTTAGGTGTAATTCTTTTGAATAAAATGGCAGTGAGGAAATATTCGATCTGATAAGAAAACCCTACTGAAAATTAGTGGAAGTGAACACAACAGAACAAACTGAAGTCGTCAACACAAAAAAAAACCATGAGCAATTTAAACAGAAGAGACACTCTGGAATTGAAGTGTTCTTTTGTGTCCACTTCAGTTTTTCTCGAGTAATGTATTTTCTCAAGACGAAATCCACCGATGCTGAGCTATTAAAGCTGAAATCTATTGTCGGACTATTGATTCAAACTTGCTCTTTAAAAAAGTTCACGTTTTCCATAATACAAATATTCAATCAATCAACTCCAGGCGCTGATTTCTTGACTGATTTTAAGTATGTTTAGGTCCAAAAATTTTCAATATGCAAGGTGTTGAAATAAAAATACAACGGGTTTCCGTAAATATCGTCATAATCTTTTTCTCAAAATTGTTGAAATTTGGCAATGGAATTTACAGCAGCAAGAAGCTAAGTTTTTTCAAAACAGACTAACATTACTAATACCAGTGGTATCCCGGAAGACCCCTGGCGAATATTTTTCAGAGAAAAATTGTAGGCCACTGACTTTTTAAATTTTAATTTTTTTTGTCCACAACCGCAACTGTTCAACTTTTGTTGAT